CTTGATGTAAAATGCAGAATAGTATGTACCTTTCATGAAGAAAATGTAAATTTACAGTGTTCTGTGAGAATGTTACTGCTGACTTCTTTCCCAAGGTGTAGAATATTTTTTTGATTTATGAACTCATTTTTGACTCCAGTGGTTTATACAGACCAATACTACAGCTGCAACATTTTCACAAAGGTAATTAAATCTGGATTTCTGGCCCCCGCCGTTTGGAGATTTCATTTTATTTTGTTGCTTTAAAGCTCAATGCAGACCAGTTGTCAACTGTAGGGGAAAATAAAGTTAATTCAAGTTTTGTGTTAAGGCTGTTGTGTCAGTTTTGTTGTGATTAACTTGGTAACATGCTGCTGTAGTGAAGCCACAGCATCTTCTTAACTCCCTCCAGCTTAAACTAAGCCAAATCCAGCGCCTCTGCTGTGATGAAATGAAGGTGGTTGTCATATTTCCAGGGAAGAGCAGCCCCTTCCCAACCACACATTGCAGCAACTCCTTCCAGCATCTGGAGCTCCTCGAGCTGCTACAGCTGCTCACCCACCAGCAGGAGGGCTGATTGATGAGGTGATGCACGATTCCTAGTGTCGTGTGCTTCCAAGCCAACCTGCATCCTGACCATGGGTGAGAAATAAGGGATCTAACATTTGGAAGATCACCTGAAAGGCAGCAGGACAGAGGCTGCCAGTCAGTCTGTGGCTTGGCAGTAACTCAGCCTTGTTTTAAAAAAGGAAATACAAGATTGCCCTCCACTCTTCAGGTACCTTTGCATTTGGACAGACTGACTTCAGCCTTAGGCAGCAGTGTTCTCTTTAACAGCAGAAACAAGTGAATCTGAGGCATGTGAAATAAAAATAAGCCAACTACAGGGATCACAGCCAGCCTGGGCCTAAAGTTGCCTGCTACTTACCTGAGCTTTATTTTTTCCTAAATCTAACATGACTTCAAGGATTCTGCCAATGTTCTGCAGTTAAAATGAAATAAAAAGTTGGGAGTCATTGAGGCATCCACATAGAAAAAGCAACATTACAAAGAAGAACTGGCACTGCCTCACCTTCCTTGGTTCCTCAGGAATCTGCACACTGGGTATGCTTACAGCTGGATCCTGGAATCAAACAGCTAAACTTCCTCCTGCCTCTGGGAGAACTGAACAGCCCTTCTACCAGCAAAGACTGTCAGCATCTTCCCTCTTCATCACACACACTTCCCAGACTAGTTTATTTCCTTAGCTCCAGCCATCTTTTTTCCTTTTTTCGTTCTACTATGTCAAATTTTGAAGCACAATTGCCACAAAACAGTAAAAAAAAATAGAAACCCCCACCAAAACAATAAAACCAAACAACAAAAGACACGTGAGCCAGGCTCAGGTCAGCAGTTGCTAAGGAACTAAAGCTGCAAGTGTCTAGAACTCAATAATACTGCATAGCTTCTGCATTTCTTAATCATTACTGGTGGGAGCAGTGAGGCAGACAGTGCTGCTGGTAATCCCAGGAGAAATATTTTGACTTGCAGAAGTAATTTCATAACAAGGAGAAAAGTTGTTAATTAAGTATCTTGATAGATTTACTCTTGAAAAAGCCTCTGAATGCTTTGACAGAGCCCCTGGTACATACCAGTCCCATCAGGAGTAAAAACTGAAAAAAATAATATTTGGCTGTGACTGAAACGCCCTCACCTCTTTAACCCAGTGGATAAACTGCTCCAAGATGGGGCCTTGAAGCAATGCCATGGAAGGCAAGGAACAGGGCTGGGTAGTGTTTCCTGCCCTATTTACAGGCAGTGTTGTTTTCCGTTTTGCATAAAAACAAAGTGTTCCAGCAAGATTGTTTCCAGCACTGTGGATGAATGTTTAAAGAAAAACAGAAGGGCATTATCCAACACTTGAAAAATGCTGACCACGATCTGTGTGATTCCTCTAAGAACATTTTTTCTCCTCACGCAAGCGTCCAATGCTGCAATAATGTAGAGTTGTGTTTTAAGAGGTTCTAATCAATAATCTCTGTTGGTGATAAAGATTAAATGAAATGGGATTTTCAGAAACAAGGATACACCTTTTCCTATTTCCTTTTTACTTGCCAAAATGAAGCAGATGTTCCCCAGCCTTTCCTAAAGCTGTTGTTGCTGCCCAGCTCTGTTTTCCCTGGGTAGAGCTATCCAATTTAACCAAAAAACTTACCTTCAGAGTGTCTGGGAGAATAAGCAGGGTGGAAAAGCTTCACACCAAACCGGGATTAACCTAGCACATCACTTCCATGGGAACCATGCTCAGGTGTCATACACAGCTCCTGAACAGTCAGTGACTGACACCACTGAACTAAGGCTTCCATGGAAAGAGAAAGGGCATTCCACTACTAAATGAAACAATTTTTTATTCATGAGCATTCTCATTTTAAATTCACAAATTATGAAAGGAAGGCAAATCAGAAGAGACTGCCAGAGCATCTTTTAAATGATAAAGGTATAAATTTTCTTTCTGAACATTTCTAATTTAAGAAAGAAAAAGGTTGCATAGGCTTTCTACAGGTGTGCACAAAAAAAAAATTTAAGTACATGGAAGTTTGTACATTACAATTCAGTGTACATCAGCTACTTGAAAAGGAAAGTATTTACTTGCAATTCCAAGACAGCTATTGGAACAACCTACAGAATAAGGCTTATGAATATTTACTTTTCAGTCCTGCAAAGTATACTGAACACATACTATCAGAAAAATAAAATGACACTTGTGAATCTTGTTCTGGAATCTCTCACTGATGGGATCTTTTCTGAAAGGACTTTTTACTTTCATGTCTCCCAAGTTAATCTGGGAAAGAAGCAGTGGTAATGGCATCAGGGGATTCTTCATAGCATCAGAACGGAAGAAAACATTGGCCAGAGCACAAGTGGAATGTCCTCGGCATGCAGAAACAACCAACCATGCAGACAGAGAAAATCTTCAATAAATTACAAGCAGAAAATTATTCAAATTTCTCCTCAAAAGAACAGCTACAGCATCTCTGTAGCCTTGACAGTCACACCATCCCAGCTGAAAGAGCTCTACTCCTTCAGGGGCCCAGGCCTGCATGCCTGAGACACAGAGGTTTGCAATGGCTATTTAGTGAGTATGTGTCTTGTTCTTTGGTGTGTGAGAGAGTTCTGGGAGGATGTTCCATGGGTTTAACTCTGCTTTTTCCATTGTTCTTTGTGATGATACTACAAACTGTAGGAATACTTTTAGGTACTTATCAGACTGATCTCTAGAACAAGAGTGGATCCATTATAAAGTGAATTCTTGCAGGTGATAAAGTACAAGTGTTCCTGATGATACTCAGTAGCAGTTCAGTGATTACTGCAACAGCATCATTTTGATTTTGTTACAGAAAACTGTTACATCAACTATTCCTAAAAAATAAGTTGTTTTTTTTCCCCTCTTAAAAAAAAGTGTCAGTTACAAAACCAAGCTCATACAATCCACTTTTTTTTTTTTTTAAAATAGGATTTAAATCATTTAGAACATGAATCTTTCTAATGTGTAAAAAAAGAGAAAAGAAAAAAAAAATACACACGAGGACTAAATACATTTAGGAGGAAAAGTAGCCACACCTTCATTAAAGAGAGATCTGAAGTTCAAATCCAAAGGAACAACTAATGGAATGTTTCCTTGTGCACACACCTCCTCCGCTCAGCCTTCTGAGCTGCTCAAGAGATTTTAACATCTACCAAAAAAACAAAATGCAGGACAACAAGGACAGATGTGAGCCGTGCTTTGACCTAGATATCTCTGTAGTATAAGCATAAGTCAGTGTATGAACAAAGCAGACAAAAGGTACAAAATTACTCAGCTCTACAGATGGGCATCCATGCTACTGTGTGTTAGAAATACAGTGGTTTTGTTACGGGGCACTGTGGAAAGAAGCACTGAGCACATTTTACACGTGCCTTTTGCTGCCACCTCTCTCAAAAATATTTTCATTTCCAACAAATACAAACTAAAAGGTGACAAAGCCTTAACACACTTCTAGAATCTACTTTGTCAGTATCACAGTGGGTACTTTACAAAGCAAGATCAAGTGACAGGATTTTTTAATTTTTCTTTTTAACACTACAAAACAAATTGTATCCCATTTCATTTGCTTCATTCATAAAGTTATTGTCTCAGTGGAATAGTTTAATAAATTGTTACTTTTACATCAGTGAATCATTTATCTGGGAAGGCTAGTTATATCACCTCTACTCATCCAGATGTTTTATCAGAAGCAATCCCATTTAGTGGAACATGTAAGCCAGAAGTGTTGGCATGACAGCAGCCAGAGAACATTACACAGCAAGATCAAAGTTACCAGAGCAGCTGGCTCAGGGGTGGTGACCAGAGATCGACTGAACAGCTGGAGATGAACAGACAAAGCAGCGAGGACACAACGGGTTAGTGTGAAGAACAACATTCTGGAGAAGGTATTGCTACTTCTTACAGGGTGGCAGGAAATTCACACTCGTCAGTGACAGGAAGCATGCCCTGAACTCGGCAACCCAGAGCGAGCACAGCCAGTGGATCATTCTTATGTCAAAGTGAGTTACTCGCTGACTTCAGACAGATCGACTGCCGGTAAGAGACACGTCACGTTTTAAGTGCAAAACATTTTTGGCAAAAGTGAAAAATAGAAAAACCTTAACCAGTACTAATAAAAAAGTATTTTCTTAAATACTAGCACAGGGCCTGATCCTGCAAGCACACAACTCAGGGAACCCCGGCCGAGTCCAGCCAGGGTTCTGTGCCCTAACACTTGGAGGAAAAGGTCTTGGAGTCGCTATTGGTGTTGGTACTGTTTACATGTAGTGTAAATAACACACACAACACATGCACACCGTGGGTACTTAGGGACGTGTGCCTGTGTGCCTGTGGATCTGCACACACAAAATGGCTCCTGAATAAACTCGAGCTCGTGGTTATTTTGAGATGCATCATTCACAGTACATAGCTTCCCGTGGGGATCTTCTGGGAACAGGACCTATCCAAGGATATCCTGAAGTTACATACTGTATCATTTTAATGCCTTTCAGGTACAGTTATGAGGCAACTGCTCTCTCCTGTCAATGGGTCTTCCAGAGAGGATTCACGTACAGCCAGCCGTCACCCTGTAAGAAAATTAAGCAGAGTTTACAAACAAGATTTATAAATACCGTATTTGTATGTCCACACAAAAGCTAAAATAAGACCAAACAAGAAGCCATCCCTGTCACCTAAAAATTCTGTGTTTAAAGAAATGACAAGTAAGGTAGGCAGGAGGAAAAAAATTGCAAGGGGGAAGAGATGCAATGAGAAGATGCAAGAGATGCTGACTTAAATAGCAGCTAATGGAACAATTCCCTCAGTCTCATTTCCCCTCCACCTTTCCTCCAACAAAAGGGGAAGATGAACTTGGTAAAATTTGTTTCCTTTCACACAGACCTTTCCCAAGACTGTGTTTAGGATGTCAATGCTTACTTACACTGGATAAATCTCCCTAGATTGTGGTCATTTTAGTATGCTAAGATTACAGGGGAAGTGAGTATGCAGAATTTGAGAAGTAAGGGCTGGATTTTCCAGAAAAAACACATCACTTTATTTGCCTAACATTAGGCACCAAAAATCCAGAACAAAATCAATCTAACTGAAGAAAAGTGAACAAGTTCACAACATAGACATGGAAAAGCCCGCTGCTCTCATTCAAGAGCCAGACTCTGTCAAAAATAAAATTTAAGCACTCAGTGGTAGATAACAACACTAGCCCATGACAAAATCCACAGACATTGACTTGTCCCCTGTGCAGGAACTTGCTAAAGGTCTAAACCAAGAAACTCCAAGTACCTCTTTGGCAAAGTATTTGGGTTTCCAGGGAGTTGTGAGCGCCGCTCGCTGCCGCTCCTCTGCTCGCTGTCTCTCTTCCAGGCGGTGCTTGTGCTCCGTGGCGGCATCGATGTTCCCCTCCTTCAGGGAGCTGGTGACGTGCTGCCACAGGCGCCTGCCCAGGGAGAAGGAGCACAAGGGAGGTGAGAACAGCTCTGCCACAGCCCGCTGCTGCTGGACACCAGACTGGTGAGCAGCAGGCTGAGGCCACGCTACCCATGCTGGTTTTCCAAGTCCCACAGCTTGGGAATCGTCACTCTGCTAGAATATTCATCACATTTGTGGAGCAGATTTTCAGATTCCCTCAGCTCCCAGTATTTTGCAGTGCAATTTTCTCAGCAGACTCTGTTTATATTCTCTTCACCACCTGAGCTTTTTTTCTCAAAGCAGATGGTTTTATTTCTACCATTTCTAGTTCACATTCCTTAGTGATGTTCCTCCACCCCCCCAAAGCAGGCATTTAATTCTGCATGGTTTTGCAGGTAATGTTTTGAATTATAAGGGAGTGTCAGCCAAAACCCAAGAGTGCATTGAGTGATCCAACAAGGTCACTAGCAGAGGAACTGATTCTAGGGAGCCCCTCTGCGTCTGTGCTCTGTATTCCCAGTTACAGTATTTACCAGCACAGAGCTACACACTTCTCACACAGCTGACCACGCTCAGACACAGTGCCTTAGATCAGCCTAGCAGAAGCTCTGCCCAGAAAAGCACTGAGAAAAACCCTCATAGAATGGTTTGGGTTGGAAGACACCTTAAATATCCTCCAGTTGCACCCTCCCTGCCATGGGCAGGGACACCTCCCACTAGACCAGGCTGCTCAGAGCCCCATCCAACCTGGCCTTGAGCAATGCCAGGGATGGGGCATCCACAGCTTCTGGGCAACCTGTGCCAGTGCCTCACCACCTTCACAGTAAAGAATTTCTTCCTAATATCTAATCCACACTGCTCTCTGTCTGAAACCAACCATAGCTTTCACATCTGTCCAGGGCTGTTTAAATGAGATTGTGTTCACAATGTGATAAACTGCAGATCCTGCAGAGCCACTGGATGGATGCAATTTGCTGACTAGTATCTAAAAAACACAATAAATACACTGAAAAGCTACTGGTTTCCTTATTTACTACAATCTTTATGTTCTACACTACAGGAGAAAAAATGAGTTTGTGGATAAGCAAGTGGTCTAGAAAGTAGACAAATTCTATCTGACCCTGCACAATGACTCAAGACACCTTTGTAAAATAAAAAGACATTTACAGATAATAAAATGTAGTTTAACTCATATTTTTAAATCCTTCAATAAAATGTTCCTAAATTCAATTAAAGTATTGATTTTTCTGAAGATAAACACCAACAGTTATTGACAGTGAATACAGAACAGGTTTTTCTAATGTATCTAGTCTGAGTTAGGTGCATGATGTAGGTTCCAAGAGCCTCAAAACGACCTGTATGTGTCTCTTTATATCTCATACTGCCTCATATTTTATATATGTTTATACAAATATATATTCTGAAATATATAACACATGAAGCACCAGTTTCAATGATATGCAACACATAATATACATACCAGTTTGAATTGCTTGCAACAAACTGACTGATTTGCCTTACCATGTTGCAATCACTCCAGGAAGCAGGTGAAAACACTGCATTACCATTTTCCAGATGCTCATTAAAACAAATATAGGCATTTTTCCCATCTACAAAATTTATGTACTCATCACTACAGTGCAATTTATGCTCCAAGGAACCAATAGACAGCCTCAGCTCTCTGTGCCCAGATTTTCTGCTGTAGGAAGCAAGGAATTTTTGAACCACAGCACTCAGAGCTGCAGTTGGCTTCCCTGCTCTGTTCCCACCCAAAGTTCAGCACTGCAAAGCCTCTGCCCTTACCTTGATTCCAGTGGCCCTTGGTTTGCTGTGGGCCTGATCTTTTTCCTGATAACAGGCAGTTTGGTGGTGTCAATCACTTTGGTGTCTCCGTTGCTGTAAGTGAACTCCAGGGTGCCATTCCATTCTCCCTGTGCCTTGCACACAATGGTGTTCGTTGGATTGTGCTTCACTTCAGCTGTAACCCTGATTCGAGGGGGAAGGAGAAACAGACCACAGAAATAACTGGTACCATTTATTACCAGCACATGACAGCACTACCTTGCTGCGGGTGCAAGCAGCTTTCTACCTCCACAAATGAATTATTCAGGCAAAGTAGTGATGCTGCTTCCAAAAAAGAAAGACTCATCCCAGGAAAGCTCTTCTAACACAGCAACAACTTTGGGATGACATTCTAGCTAAGTACAGTAGTAACCCAACTTAAAATTGTGATACTCAGCTCAAGCCCAGACCAAACTGTTACCTCAGCAGCCTGAAAAACAATCCCTGACATCCATGTGACATTTTCAATACAATACAGACACTTTCATGCCTGAACATAATGCTGTCAGAGACCCATGTCAAAAACTTTGGGTATCTTTGTTTTCTTCTTTAGCTCTGCAATTCACTTCTCAGCTGCTGAGAGGCAATGATTAAAGCCACCTCATCAATCAAAGAACTGGTCTGAGAGTGAGCAAAACAGACAGGTAGGACTGGAAAACTGAAATGCAGGGAGAAGTTCTGTGAATGTGTCCATGAGCATGCACACATGTGCTTTAGAAAGCCATGTAATGTGTAAACTCAATTTTTTAATTACTAAAGTAATAGAGCACAACTTCCCCAAATTTTTACTCACCCTGATGGCATCAATTATTACTCTAAAACTTTTAAAGAAAAACCCTGTCAAAACAGCCGCATGCAAAAATTTACCTGAACACAACATTGAAATGTGAAATAAAACAGAGGTAACCATGCAAAGCACAGTCTCCTCTGGACAATGCAACAGTCCACAGCAGAACAGGAAAGGGATCTGATGTTAATGACTGGGACATCAACCTGAGCATGGAAGAAACACAGGAGGCTGTCCTGCACAGAGCCTCTTTGCACCCTTAGTAAAGGGGAACCAAAGAAGGCAAATAACATTTTCACCATCTGGAATTTCAGTGCAAAGGTGGGAGTCCCCAGTAGAGAGCTACCACTTTGGGCAGTGACACTTTTGCTTCTCTCCTCTTTTCAGGAGCTCCACCTGGAACACCAGTTCATCTGCAGGACTCACACAGGAGCAGCAGCTGGGGTAGCAGAAATATTGCCTTTGCCATGTACATTTTTCTGATCCTACACTTACAGCAATTTGTACAAGCAACAAAGCCTGGAGAGATACATTCACTTTATTTTAATGAGAGAAATACATCCAATTCAGTTAAACAACATAATATGTATTGCTACAATAAACTGCCCTAGAGCTTTAAGTCATCTCCAGCACTAACAGGGAAAGAACTTCAGCTATCTGTCTATAAAATACTGCAACAGAAGAACTGAACAGATGCCCCAGAGCCTTTCCCCCGAAATCCAGCAGCAGGTAAACAAGAGTAAGACAGTAATGGCTGTACCTGTGGACCTTCCCTCCATAGAAGGGCTTGGTGTGGAAGGTGACCGTGGCAGAATAGCCCGTTCTGGCACAGTTGATGTTGACTTTCCCTCCAAGCTCCACCCACGGGATGGTAAGGATTGAGCGAGCGTAGGCACTGGGCAGGGTGAAGACATACTCCTCTTCATGTTCCAGCAAGTGAAGAACACCTGTGCAGGAAGAGGAGAAAGTGAGGTTATAAAGGGTTCTCTGACAAGATCTGATGGTCACTGACCATCAAAATGCACATCCATGGAGAGCACATGCAGCTCTCCTTGAAGGAGGGCACTGTCTGCTGGGAAACTCTGCTCTCTGGAACAAGTTTCTTCCAACAAGCATTTTCAAAAGCATCCCATGGGACTGAGCACCCTGACATACTGACTGCTACCTAACAACTTTTCAGAAAATCTGACTGGATTCCTTACTTTGTATAACTGTTAAAAGCTGGATAAACATAGAACGTCCACCTAAAAACCACACTGAAAATTCAGATGCTCTCTGTGTTGTATCATAATCTCCCTCCAGAAAATACATGGGCAGGGCCAAAGAACTGTTCACTTCTCCATTCAGTTAGGAACAACCATGTCCTCCACTAATTTCCTCTTGATGCTGTGAAAGGCTATAAGTCTCTGTGGGTAAGAATAAGAAAACATGGCATCTACAAATTTCCTATTAACTTTGCTCTTTAATTTCATAATGTCTGGTTTCTCACGCAGGCTTTGAAAAAAATCTTGCATAATCAAAGAGGTGCCCAGCAGGGCCACTGCTCTATTAGCACCACGTCCAATGTCTCTACCAGGCAGAGAAAAGAACGGGTAATTCCATCTCTTTCTGTAAAAGTCCCTCCACCCTCAGCACCATGAGGCTGTAACTAAAAACAACACACAACAGCAGCAGTTTTTCAACATTTCTTGGAAGTTGCACAAAGAAAGTTGCTTTCCTGATCAGACCTTTGCAGCTTCCCCTGGGGCTAAGGGTACAACTCTATCCCCATAAAAACTGTAGTTTGGTCTTCAGGATAACAGGACATAAGACCAGGAAAAGAGCACCATAAACCTCGCACGCAGAATTAGATCATGCCAAATGTCTGCAGTGTATTTTTTATTAGAGTTTTACAGTCTTTTGTGTCCCATTTACTAACTGCCTAAAGGCAAAAATGACAGCCTTGAAAATATTTTTTCACAACAGGGACTGAAAATAACCTATCACAGGAAGAACTCAGAACCCAGAAATATTTGGAAATAAAAGAAAGGAAAGTTATTTTGACACAGTAATAGTATCTGTTTAGTAGCAAGATAAGCTTGAACCCATTTGCCTTCACCCTGGGGCAGGCAGGGGAAGAACACACTGTTAGTGGTATTGATTAATCTATCTGTTTAAAGGAATACTGACACTACTTTTTCAAAGTGATCTCACATTTAATGATGAAAAAGCACTAAATAGGAACATAACACCACTGCTGCCAATATGAAAATATGCCTTTAACACTGCATGGAAAAAATTAAATTAAAACACACTCAAAATTAAAAGCACAGAGCTCTAAGGGAGCCCTGATCTTGAATATTGGCTCCAGCTAAGAAAACTAAATACAGGCACAGGAAACTCTGCAATTTGTCACTTCTGCCTTCTGAACTATTTCACAGGAAAACATTTGCAAACCAGAACAGCTTCATGCAGTTGTTCTCAGAACCTCTGCAACCTCGGCCTCCCAGTAGCGACACAACCAGCACGGCCACTCCAGCAGCTCTGACACAAGGAGCTGGGAGTGCAAGAGCACACAGAAAAGCCATGTCTTAAAAGGACCTTTAATCATTTAGTCTTGGCAAGATACAAGTTCCTCACGTCACGTGCTGAGCCCTCACCAGCAGGGAAAGGCCAGGAGGACACAGCCAGAACACACAGACATGTTTTGCCTCAAGCTTCCTCGGCTTCACACCTGCACAGACATCCAAGCTGAAGACGCTGCAGGAAGGCTGAACTACCCAACTCACCCTGGACATGCAGACAGGAATAACTTATACTCAAAAAACTACTCTGGTTATCAAACTCATTAAATGGATGCTATAATAGCATGAAGTTAATAAAGAACAATTGTGGAATCACAGAATGGCCTGGGTTGGAAGGGACCTTAAAGATCATAGAGTTTCAACCCCCCTGCCATGGGCAGGGACACCTTCCTCCAGACCAGGCTGCTCAGAGCCCCAGCCAACCTGGCCTTGAACACTTCCAGGGACGGGGTATCCACAATTTCCTTGGGCAGCCTGTTCCAGTCCCTTAATACCCCTCAGTAAAGAATTTTTTCCTAATATCTAACCTAAACCCACTCTCTTTTATTTTAAAGTCATTCCCCCTTTTCCTGTAGCTACATGCCCTTGTAAAAAGTCTCTCTACCTCTCCCATTCTCTTCTGATCACCACTGTACGTGATGTTCCTCACGTGAGAGGGAACTGGTATGATAAACACAATTTCCTTATGGGTCAGTACAGGTTTGCCTCTGTCCCCCTGATGGGATCAAGAGCTTTTTCTCCCTAGTCAGGTGGGAGGGGCTCAGAGCTGCAGTGCTGCCAAGCACATTTAAAGTGGAGAGCAAACAGCAGCAGTGACCTTCAATGTAAATATTTAACCACCACAGCAGGTTAGATATTAAAAACTGAACCCAGCTCTCTTGGCAGTATTTTTAGCACCCAGTAGCATATTTTCTGAATTCCTTGAACACCTGAATAAATACATTTTTTAATGAAGCGCTATCTCACTTGAAATACGACTCCAGCTCCATAATTACAGTCTAAAAGAGATTAAAGGGCAGATCTGAAATACCCATGACTTGATAATACTTTTAATATTAACCTCACTGTTTTGCATTCCATTGTTCACAGAGCCCACATGCAAAGCCTTAAATGAAGCACCACAAACACTGTGGCTGCACCAGCACATCTGAACAGAGACCTGTGCTCCCTTAGGGGAGGGGAAGCCAAAAATTACACTGAGATTCAACGTTTGTAACAGGTACCACAATTTGAAGTAACTCCCCACCCAGGCAAGTGTCAATCTTGAGAAATTAAAAGCCAATTAACTGATAGCTAACAGTGACTTTACAAAGTATCATTTTTACATCTGCTTATAATCATTACACTGCAACTGATCTTTAAAAACAACTGCTGGAAAATACACAGGCTGTTTTTCTTCCCTTGCTTCCCTGCTGTAAGGGATGATTCAAGTTTAGTTTGAAAATGGCTATAAAGTAAATACACATGAAAAGCTGTAGAATATTCTCCCATTTTTAGGTTTTTTCCCTCTCATAACTAAGAGTTCTTTAAAAAACTTCCAATTCCTTTAAAATAAAAAACCTGAAGCATTTATAGGCAACAATTACACAAGGAAGAATACACCAGACCAGCACTCTGGGAGGAACAGTTGATTTAGTAATCTGGTTTGTTAGGAAAAAATGCTACAGAGAAGGGTGAATTTGTTAAAAACCATTGCAGGATACTGAAATTCCCCCTTGAAATGTCCTCAACACCATTTACTGCTCCTTTTGACTACAGCAATGTATTCAGAGTCACACCCCTACCCATGAGCCCTCAGCCTGCATTAAGGGAAGCCAAGGGCTTGGCATATCACTCTCCCACTTTGACTCTTACATGTCCCTCACTGCTGCTGCAGCTCTGTGAATTGATTTCCCAGTAACACATATTGACAAAACACCCCAGAGGAGGCTCTGGATCAATAAGCTGCAGAAGAGACATGTGGGATTTAATGCTTCCCACTGCCTGCATGGAGATCAATCTGAACAACAAATGGCACGTGGGACACCAGGGGCCTGGGGCACTTTCCCCATTTAAGCAGCTCTTCACCCTCTCCGTGTTTCCCATAACACACCAAGAGGAGCAAGATATGTGTGGGCTGAGCCCCACATGGGTGTTGAGCATCACAACTGCCCAGATCCCCACAGGAAAACGGGAAATGCCAGAACTGGGCTCTTATTGTCTCAAACCTTCCAGGCAGCTGTGTTGAGCACTGCTCGTTTTTCAAAGGCTGGAACGATTTGCTAAATTAAGTAATGAGTGCCATGCTATATGAAAATGGTTCTAAAAACACTGCGCTAAAAATATTAATGCAAAAATGAGTACTGAGGGAAATACTTAGGTAGTTCTAATTGCATGGAGCAACCAAGCTTTGGGACTGATAAATTTTAAGTCAGTCATTTCTCTGTACTAGAAATTATAGACCTGTACATCTATTAATACATATGCATATATGTATTTGAACATAAGGGAAAAAAAATTAAAAAGAGAGGAAAAAACATTCATTGCTTTCTTTTAAATTTACCCTGGAATGAGCACTGAACCTTTTACCCGCCTATCAGATCTTTTCAAGTTGATTTCAATTCAGAAAAAATAATTTTGGAAGCCTATACCTCACTACTTTTCAAAACATTTAAAATAGCAGAATTGAAAACATCAGATGTAACTAGCCACTTGACAATACAGAGCAATCCATTTAAATGTACTTTATGCTCTCTGCAAAATTAACCCATAAATCAAAGATGACACTTTTTGTTGGCTTTTGCTGCTCTGAACCAAAATCCAAGAGCAGAAAAGGAACGGGCACAGCTGGCACTAAGTGCTCACCACAGCATCCTTACCCCACAACCAGTATCCTTTTAAAGATTCTATGGACCACGCAAAAACCATTAAATATTTATACTGACTTCTCATCCTTTGCTAATTTAAATCTTAATGTGACCCTGTTCATTACAGCCTCATCTTCTCCCTCACTCTTTCATTAGTACATAATTAACATTAACCAGAATTAGGGACTGCACATGCAACCTAAGTTCTTTTATGCAAAATACCCTCTTTTCTATTCCGGGTGGCTTTCTCATGAGGAAACTCAGTGCTGACTACTCTGAAGAATGGGGGTTTTGTCATACAGCAAAGAAAAGTTGCAAGATTTCATTAGCAAGCCAGATTTAGAGCACTCATAAACAGTAATGAAAAAAAGGCTAGCATATAAAACAGCTCCCCACATGGATTTCCAGCAATGCTCTCCCAATTGTTCTGCATCTCTGCAGCAGATACTTACTTTGAATCAACAAACAAAAACCACAGACAGAAAAAAAATATCTTAGTCACTTTGAGGTGTGACATACAAAAAAATCACACCACTG